CCACGTCAGCATCCTCCTCAGCATCAGTGCCTTCCAGTCAGCCTCTTCCCGAGTGGTGGTGATTTCCAGGTCAGCATTCCCCTAGGGATTGGTGCCTTCCAGGTCAGAAGATCCTCCTGGGGATCAGTCAGCATCCTCCAGGAAATCTCAGGTGTAGACACAGACCTGGCACTTTCAGCACCTCACCATCTCCACATCCATCAGTACAGAGGTGACTGTGCCGGCGCCGAGTATGTACGTGGAGCTCAGCTGCTGCCACATCGGGCAGATCTCCCAGCGTGGAGCAAAGGCTGAGGGCTGTTTGTGTGCTGGGAGGGCCCCATGTGTTGTAACCCTGCAAAGCCACGTGAGACTCCCAGAGTCACATTTAACTCTGGCCCATGACTTTCAGGATGCAGAGAAAGGTCCAGCTGTACAGGGATGTCTGTCTGACCAGCACCTGCTCCGTGCAACCCTCACAACCCAGGGAGCACTGGAGTCCCCCAGCTGGTTGAGGACCTCCTGCAAAGGGCTGGGACATGCTGTTCACAGCCTCTCCTTGCTTGGTCTGCCCCTGAACACAAAGCAGCTGATGTGGCAGTGGAAGCAGGGGACCCCGAGGCGCAGCCAGTGGCAAGAGAAGTCATGGAGGCTCCCTGTCCCTCCCCAGGGCAGCTCCCAAAGTGTGTCCTGCTCTGTTTCAGACCCTGCAGCTCTGGAGGCAGCTGGAGGAGAAGATGGAGTTTCTGCCATCAACTCGTCTGAGCAAGTAACATGGCAGCTTCAAGAAGATGTGGTCCTCACACTGCACAGCAGAGGAGGTGTGTGCACAGGGACAGTGCACAGGCAGTGGGCCCTGCTGTGAAAAGCTGCACGTCCCCCAGTGTCACCACACTTCATGGCAGGCAACAAAACATTGGGAGCTCTTGCTCGGACAACAGGACTGTTTTCAGTGCAAAAGAAGCTGGTAGGAGCTCATTCGGAGAGCTGCTGTTGCTCTGAGGAGGGAGCAGCCGTGTCGTGAGAGCATCAAGAGCAGCAGTGTTTTGGTACAGCGAAGCTGCTGGCTTGACCCTCCCAGCACCTCTGTGGCCAGGTGCTCGGTGTTTCCTGGCTGTGAAAGACCAACAGCATCCTGGAGGCAGGGAAGGGGCCAGCCCCAGCAAGCAAAGACAGAAACAACCCATTCCTGCAGGGAGAAGCCTACAGTGGGGCAGCAAGAACAGATGTCTCAGGCCTCTACCCTCTCCACCTCTGTTTGGGTGCCAGCACATCTGTCTTGGCAGGTTATGTTGCCCTTTCTATTTTTCAGGAGAGAGTGGATGATCAGGAGTGAGCTTGCAGCTATAAAGGGAGGCAGATGAAGAAGAAGGGGGACAGATGATCACAGGGTCTCCAGCGGGCTGCGCACTTGGACCCTCTAGCAAAACCTCAGGCAGAGGTATCCCATGTGCAGGTGAGATGAAAGTTGTGGCCGAAGTGAATGGTCAGCACTGAATTTTTAAAGTATTTGGGTTTGGATTCACTGTGTCCCTGGGGCTGTGCTGCTCCTCCATTCCCAGTGCCCAGACAGCATGAAGTGGAAGCTGCTACTGAGGACGAAGCAATTCCTCTGGATATGCCCCACATGCTCCCCTGACACTCTCGGGACCTGCACTCATAACAATTTGGGCTCTGTCTCCTCATGTCAGCTGTGATGCCATTTTCATGGGGCTGGGTGCATGGGTCACACCTGGGACCTTCCCAAACACTGCCCTTGCTCTCCCCATGGGTCTCCCTTTACCAGCCTTACACACTTGGGCTCCCAGACATCTTCACAAGTCAGCCCCTGCATACAAACCCTGTATTTGGGTGTCCAAACTGCCTACCCATCCATGCATGTACCCATATATCCATCCCTTTCTCCCTCTGCCAACTGATCCAGGCATCCATCCATATGTCTGCACAGCTCCTTCCTTCAATCCATCCATCCTTCTCTCCCTGTTGAACCATTCACTGCATATATACCCCTTCCTTTCTCCCTCACCTGATGACATATATGTTTCTCGCCCCTGTGGCTACCATGGTCTGCTGGAGTTGCTTTAACTTCTTTTCTTGGCTCAGGACGAGGCGGAGAAGGAAGCAGGAGCAGCCATGAGAGGTAAGTTGAGACTGTTTTTCTTCAGAGTCCTGTGCAACCCGCCTCCTCCCCTGTGGAACGCGGGCTGATGCTGGCAGAGAGGCAGGGAGAGGAGGAGGCTAGCTGGCCTGAGGGCCAGCCCAGATCTTTGGCAGGGACGGTGGCAGCCAAGCAGCCCAGCCACCGCTGCGCAACCATCCACAGCCACTGCCCTGCCTGCAGAGGCTTTTGCCCAGGCTATTGCTTTCCCAAAGGAGAAATAGCACTGCTGGATGGCTGGTAGACCCCAGCCCCTGCCCGAGAGGTGCTCTGGATGGGGCCACCCTGCATTGGCTGGAGACAGAGATGGACATTTCTGCACCTTCGTGCTGGGGACGTGTAGCATTGCCTGCTAGAAATTTTTGGGCTTCCAGCAGGACCCTGGCCATGTTCTCTTGCACTTTTGTCCTGCTGGGCTTGGGCTGGTCCTTTTCTCACGCCACGGAGCTGGACCCATCCCTGCTCCTTGCAGATGCAGCCCACAGGCTGCTTTGACCTGGCCCAGCCTCAGCATCCCCAGGCCTGGCCCGTACCAGCTCCCCAGCCATCTTGGCACAGCATCCGCCCCGGGGAGGGTGGGATACAGCAGCAAGGCAAGTTTGGAAATGCTTCTGCCTATCCGGGCAGGGTGGGTCAAGGCAGGGCTCCAACCTGCAGCAGGCAGCCTCCTGCTCACTCAGTGGCTGCGCCAGCTACCAAAGAGCCCGAGAAGAGCCCGAGCCCTGGAGGAAGTGCCCTGGCCCCGCGGTGGGACAGGGAGGTGCCGGCACTGGGACTGCTCTCATGGTCCCTTCCTGTTTTTCTTCTTCACGGCTTGAAGGCAAAGTTGACTTTGGCATCTGGAGCCCTGTCCTTTATCCCAGATTGCTGCTCACCCCAGCCCTCCCTTTGCATCTCCACCGGTCCAGTGGAAAGCCTTGTTTGCCCATTTCCAGCACCAAGGCATCCTCTCCCTGGGCAGCTGGGAGGGCAGCACCCAGCACCAAGCATCTTTACCTCCCCACACACTGCTTCCTTGGGGTCCCCTTTTGTCACGTTTACAGGCTGCTGGGGCAGGGAGCTGAGCCATGGGGCTGCAGTGCAGGCAGGCAGGACTCTGTGGTGGCGTGCATACGTCCCGCCTGCATTTAGTACCTCCAGCTGCCAAACTGGGGGCAGATCCTATCTCTTAAGATTCCATCAGAGAGGAAAGGAGTCACCCTCCAGATCCAAGGGCAGCAGGATGCCGTGATGAGGTACCAGATGAGGACCTGCCCTCAAGCTGCCCTGGTCACCAGAACCGGGTGTCCCCACACCCTGGTCAGGCAAGCCCCAGCTAAGGAAGGGGACACAGGGCTTGGCACATGGAGACAGCACAGCTATGGGTCCCCTCTGCCTGCCATTTCTCGTTTGTCCACCTAAGCTAGTCCCCACAATGCAGCCACACATTCCCTTGTGGATGTACGAGGCTCCAGTGGCCTCTGCACCCTCCAGCCAGAAGCAACCCCCTTCTAATTTGGAGTATGCCTGGAGTTTATAAGCAGGCAGGATATGGGGGCCAGAGCTGCCGTCTCACACTCTCTCCCATTTTTTGGCCTTTGTGCTCCTGCGTCTTGAGCTGGCGTCAGCCTCTAACCAGCACCAGGTGCCGGGAAACCACTGAGCTCAATTTGCAAATGCCAGAGCTACAGCTACGGGGTGGCCATCACCCGTGTTCAACAGCCTCCTGTGGACAACCACAGCCCTGATCCCCTCCATGGTGGCAGGGGATTGGGATCTGGTGGTGGTAAGAGCGGGTTTCCAAGTGGAAAGCACTGCCCATGCCATGCTGGGGACTGAGGGGAGACAAGGGTGACCATGACAAATCAGAGTGCTGGCTGGGTCAGATGCTGGGGACTAGAGTCCAGCAGGTGATGGCAGTGTGGCACAGCTGTAGCTGCCAAGTTCTGGGATGCACCTGGGAGAGGGGATGTGGCTGTTGGGCCCAGAAGCCCAGCCAGGATCTGGCCCCTTACACCTCCCCAGCTTTGGTGACCTGCCTTGCTTGCTCCATTGGAGAGCCCTGCTCCTGTCCAAGGAGGATGCAAACCCAGTAGCACATCGCAGATGGAGAGCTGAGCCCCATGTCCCCCATCCAGGGTGAGCATGCTCAGCAGGGGCAGCGAGGGGCTGGGAGACCCCACAAAGCCAAGCACTGGCATGGGCAGCTCCCCAGGGTGGGCGTGCAGGGGCACTCAGCAAGGGCACAGGGCTCCATGGGCACACAAGCCATTGGAAAAGGCACACTCATGCCCTGGTCCCCTCCAACACAGTCCCCACGAGGAGCCTTTCAGGTTGTCCCCATCCTCCAGGCACCCTCTGCATCCCGGGTTCAAGGGCAGCCCCGGTGCTCAGCCAGGGGTGACACATCTCCCCAGTGGGGGTGGGCGCAGGGGCCCACCCCATCCTGGCTCTGCTCCCTGCGCTGCTGCTGCCTGACTTTCCACCCAGCCCCATCTGGATCTCATCGGGTTCTGGCGCTGAACACCAGGGTCGGGAGGTGCCAACAGATGGAAGCCATTAGAGGGGCCAGGTTGAGGCGCGGGGAAGGGGGGGCCACATGCCGAGCGAGTGGGGCTGTGCAGAGGGTCCTGTCCCTGCTGCTGGGCTGGCGAGGGCAGAGGAGATGTCCCAGGCAGCTGCTTGTGTCCTCTTCTGGCACTCGGCAAGGGTTGGCCTGGGCGAGGGTCTCTCTCAGCCCCTCTAGGTGCCTGGGGAGGGGGCTGACCTGTTTGGGGTCCAGCCCTGCTGCCTGTCCACCTCTTGCAAGCACCGTCTCCAAGCTGGCACCTCACATGGTGCCAGTCACCTCTTCCCTGGCCCAGCACCATCTGCAAAGAGGGGGTGTTTTGCCTGGGCAGTGCCAACGCTACCCCCTTTATTGGCATCACTGCTCCATCCAGCCACAGCATGGTGGAGAGAGGCAGAGGGACAGGGGGTTCCCTTCTGCCTGCTGGTGAGGGGTGACGGGCAGGGCTCAGCATCCACTGCTCATTGATGCCCGGCACCCCTGGGAGCCTGCACCCATGGTCCCCCTCAACACTAGGCAGTGAAGTGGGTCTGGCTCAGTGTCTTATCCCCAAATGTGTTCAGCAGCTCTCGGCGGTGGGGCTGGCCCGTCGCCGAGTCGGAGGTGCCTCCAGTTGGCTCCTGGCAGGCACGGGCAGCCCAAAGCTCCTGGGAGCAGAGTCTCTCTTCTTAGGGTCCATCCTGCACCCCCAGAGTGCTGGGAGCTCCGGCAATGTCCACGGCTGTGGGGTGACCCGGGAGGCGTGGGGTCCTTGGGTGCCAAACAGTGGCATCAAGTCCCACGTGTGGACAAGCAGGTGCAGGGAGCTGGGATCGGCCACTACAGGATCTGGGCCTCTGTCGAAAGAGAGGGAAGAGGGTCAGGGCGAGACACTGACCTGTCCCCTGCCACCCCACTCCCTCCCCTTCGTTCCCCCCAACACCCTCTCCTGCACCCCAACTCACTCGGCAGTGCCTTCAAGTGGGTGGCAGCAACCAAGAAGTTGTGGGGTTTGGTCTTCTCCTTGCCGTGTTTCCTCACCCGGAGCCTGGGGAGAGAGCAGCAGCAGCTAAGGACCCCCAGCAGCCCCCTTGGGCAGTGGGACTGCCCTCATCCCAGGTGATCCTGCTCTGAATCCTCATCCAGCTGTGCCCAGCTGTGCCCAGCTGAACCCGGCTGCTCCAGAGGGTCAGCTCCAAGGCTACAGCAGGAACCCGTTGAGATAGCGCAGGGCTGGGATGGGGACAGGGACCGACAGCAGAGCCACAGCATGGCAGGGAGAGCCCAGGATGAGAGGGGACCTAGGGACAGGACCAGCAGGCACTGCCAGGAGCAGGACACTCAGGGGACAAAGGTACATGGAGCGGTGGCTGCACTGACTGGAGCATGAGAGTCCCCAGCAAGGCGGGAGACTCTGGGGGCATGTTAGTAGCAGCATCATCTTTGGGGGATACAGAGAAAGGTCCCATAGATGTGGGCTTATCAGGAAGACCCCAGGCAGGCTGGGCAGTCTCTCAGCTGGTGGGGTGTGCTGGGAAAAGGCACTCCCGTGGCAGAGGGGCAACGGGAGCATAGACCACCTTCTGGGTCTGGCATCAAGTCTGTTTGGGCAGGGACCCCAGGGCAGGGCTGTGGGGACACAGGGCACCCCACGCTGAGAGTTCAGGGGCCAGAATGGGATGGGGACAGCAATCACATAGACCCCTCCCTCTCAAAACCCAACCTACCAGATGAGGATGGTGATGACAAGAACAGCAGCCAGGACGAAGAAGGCAAAGATCCCGAGGGACACCAGGACGGCCATCTTCTCCAGGGGGTCACTGCGGTCTGGGACAGAGAGACTGTCACGGCCGAGGGATGCCACGGGCCCAGGCACCCAGGGGACCCCATTGCAAGCTCCTGGATACCCCAGCCACACAGGGGCATGGGGGAAGAGGCCCATTCCCATTACTCTCAGCCACATGTGTGCCCTGCAGGCAGTCCCCACTCCTGTCCACCACCCTCAGCTCTACTCACTGATGGGCTCAGGGTTGGGAGCCTGGGAGGGCTCCTCAGCCAGGCTCTCCAGGCTGGCATCGGTAGTGGTTTCTTCACTCGTTGTGGTGGCCAGGTCTGGAAGGACAGAGGGGATAGGAAACACTCACCCAAAAGCACAGGCAGCACCTCCACAGAGAGGAGCCTCTTCTGCCCATGGGGTCCCATAAGCCCAAGGATGACCCTGGGGTGCCAATGGTGCTCTGGGAGGCCTGTTGCACCCCAAGGCTATGGGGGCCAATCCCAGCAGCAGGGCTGCAGCCTGCCATGGAGCTGGGAGATGCCCTGCCCCCTTGCAGCTCTGCCTCCCACCATGGGCCCAGTTTTTGGATGGTGCACAGGACCAGGGTCAGCTTTAAGGGATCCAAAGAGCTGGGACTGACTCTGGGTGATGTTTAGGGGAATGGGTACTGTGGGGAAGGGGCTGCAGAGGGTCAGCCCAGGGTGCTGGAGGGGCTTTGGGGAGGGATGGTGCAACCCCGTAGGGCTGCTGGGGGCTGCAGCCCGTCCCCATCACACCTCTGACTGGTGTCGCCCGGGCCTCGGCGCTCCACTCGCTCCAGTTCCCCGCATCCAGGAAATCCTTGGCGCTGACTTGGACCACGTGCTCCAGCCCGGCGAAGGCATCCGTGATCACCTCAGACAGGTTCACCGTCTCCACCTGCACCGGGCAGAGAGGAGCTGTGGGGCTGGCAGGGGTGAGCCCTCACTGCCCTCCCTGGCCCTGTGCCCACCCCACTCTGGGCTTCGCCTTCCCTCACCCACCACTTACCACCGACCAGGAGCGGTGGATGACAGGACGATACTGGAGCCGAAACCTGAGCTGGAAGTGGGGTTCCTTGGGCCAGGAGGAAGGGTACTTCCAGCTCACGTGGAGCCGCCGTGGGGCCAAGGGGACGGGCTCCACCACCAAGCCCTCTGGGGGGTCTGGCTTAACTGTGTGGGAGAGGACAGGGAGCCCTTGTCACACCAGGGGTGTTGGGCTCCCCACTGCCACCCAGGGCTGGATGTCCAGGGGATGGATGGACAGACAGACAGATAGGGACTCACTGATGGCCTGCATGGTGACATCGAGGAGGCGGAAGCTGGAGCCCAGGGGGTTCACCTCGGTGATGTTCAGGCGGTAGGAGCTCCAGAACTCTGACCCATGGACGGTGCAGGTGCCTGGGTGGGACGGATCCTGCAGGCACAGCCCCACGTGCCCATTCTTGTTCCTGCAGACAAGGAGGCAGGGTGGTGACATGTCCCCCACACCCACAATGCACAGTTTCCCGGTGCTACCAAGGTGCTGGCACGTGGGGAGACCCCCCTGCCAAGAGTCTGGTGGAGGGGGCAGCACCCATTACAGCTCAGACAGGGTCTGGCAGCTGCCCTCACCCCTCCAGAGCCCGGTATGTCCCTCTGGGAATGACTGGTGACCCACATCCCATCCTCACATTCCTCCTGGGAAGGGCCCTCTCCTGGGGCAATCCCTTCTCCCAGGGTCCCCGGCATAGAGAGCTGGTTCTCCTATGGCAACACCCAGCTTTCGCTTTGGGCACCCTGCTGAGGACAGTGGCAGAGCCTTTGAGATGGTGGCCAGTCCCCAGGGAGTGGGGCCAGGGTGGGAGCCAGTCCTACCTCCGCTTCTCTTCACCCGTCAGTGATTTCTTCCTGCCGTGGAGAGAGATGGAAAAGCAGTCAGTGAGAACGAGGGGACAATGTGAAGCCAACCCCACCGTGACCCAGAGGAGGGACAGGGGTCTTCCACACGGACGCAGAGGAGTGATGTGGCACAGGGGATGGAGTTAATGCCATACTCAGCCCCACTGGTGAGCAGCGTGGCAGCAAAGATGGGGATCTCAGGGAAACGAGACAGGCTGCACAGGAGGGCCTCCACCAGAAGACCCCCTTGCACACTCTGAAGCAGCAGCAAAGGCGCAGGGATGTTGATAAAGGCTCCCCAGCAGCTGGCTTCATATTCACCCTACAGCCCCCAAAGCTCCCTGCTTCCCCCAGCCCCCTCCCCTCCCTGCCAAGCCCCCAGCCCCCTGCTCCTGCAGCTTTCAGCAGGGCTGCGCTTTATGAGCTCCGGCTGACTTCAAAGCAGCCCGCTAATTTGGCCTGCCGCGATAATTAAAAGCAGCGGTGCTGCCGGGGCTCCTTTCATCCCGAAGCATGTCAAAACGCTCAGCAGCTTGCAGATGACCTGCTTCTCTTTCATAGCCCCTCTGGTGCCGGCAGAGCCATCGGCGAGGAGGGAGCCTGCCTGTGCCAGTCCCCCAGCGCTGCTGGGGGCCACCCTCGCAGCAAGCTAATGCTTGGTGCACTGCTCACCCCAAAACATGACCTGCTTTGGGGTGCAGCATGGTCCTTGGTGTAGGAGGTGAACCCAGGCAGTTGGTGAGATGGCCAGCAGGATTTGGTAGTTTTCCTTGGCCAGGACCCAGGGTTCACCCCGTAAACTCCTCAGCCTGTGCCCTGTAGGGGTACATCACCTGTAGGTGGTGATGTATCTGGTGGGGAGGAAGGTCTCTACGCTGGAGGTCCAAGAGCAGGAGAAGTTCTCATAGTCAGACGCTCTGCAGGACACAAAGGGCACCCCTGGCAGGTCTGGGGTCCGAGGGGAAGCGATAGTCAGTGAGGGGTCCCCCATCCCACAGCCCAGCTGGCACTCAGGGACCCCTGCATCACCGCAAAGTCTCCCCTTGGCAAGTCAGTGCCAGGGGTGCGGGCACAGGCATCACTGGTCCATCCCGGTGGGGCTGCACATCCCCATACCCCAGCCTGTGGACACACTACTCACATCCCATCCGCAGGGACACGGTGTGCAGGAGACCACCGTCCTCGCCGTGGCAGCTGTAGGTCCCCATGGTGGCCAAGCCGGCGCGTGGCAGCACCAGGGCTCCCTGACGGATGGCCGAGCCCTCTGGAAGCTCTGCGGTACCCCCCCGCCTCCATTGCACCATGGAGCTGGGGAGTAGAGACCCAACAGGCTGCGTTAGGGGAGAGGGACTGAGGGGTCACCCCAGGTCTACCCTGCAAACCATCCCCTTGGATAAACCCCCTGGTATGCATGGAGAAGACCTACCCGGGGCGGGCACCGGAGCACAACAGGGTCACCTCTGTCCCCACCAGTCCGTACTGCACACCTGGAGAGAGACACACATCCCCAGATGGGTGTTAGCATCCCACACCACCCCACGCCAGGGCTGGGGGTCAAGGTGGGCAGCCTGGGGCTGTACCCCTCACCGGGGAGCTGGGTGGTGGCTGTGGGGGTCTTGCTTCATGCAGGTACCACCACAACAGTCTGGGAAGGAGTGGTCCCAGTTGGGACTGGGCAGCTGCAAGGGTGGGCTGCTTCCAAAAGGCTCAGGATTTTGTTTTTTTTTTTTCCTCCAACTGGTCTGTTTCATGTTACATTAAAAAGGCAAGAAAATATTGCATGATTTTAACATACCGACTCATGGAAAAGAGTCTGAGTTGCCTATTACAGTCACAGAATATGTATTATGTTAATGGTTCTCAGCCTTCTGTAACACGGCCCAGATTTAAGCAGACCATGGAAAGCCAGTCTTAATGTGATTCATGGGCAATCACATGAATCCCTTCCCCTTGCATCTCTGATCACACAGCAACATACGCTGGCAGGGAAAACAACATTATTTATGGAAAAATAGTGGCAGTTATATCATTAACGTGTTAAGCTGCTGAAGAATCAGAACACCAACACCCATCCCCGTGGGGCTGCGTTTCGTGTACGCCCTGATTCTGGTAGGTCTGTGCCTGCTGCGGGGGGAGTATGGGGGTGCCCCCAGGGTCCCCATGCCTGGGATGCAGGGTCTATGTGAGGGGACTCGGTGGGGAGCAGCGAGGGGGGCTCACCTTCCTCTCCCCAGCCCTCAGGGATGGCCAGGGAGGCTGACGCCAGGGCTGCTGCGAGGAACACCATCACCCTGCCCAGACCTGGGATGGGACTGCGCATCTGGAGGAGGGAGAGCAGGGAGGGAGAGGGTGTTAATCCCCTGCAACGGGGCAGCTGGTGGGACCCACAGCCCAGAGCATCCCCGCAAGACCACACAACCCACATCTCCCTCTCATCTCGCCCCACCTTGCCGGGGACAGCGTGGGGGCTGTGCCGCTGGGACCCCAGTGGGGACAGCTGGCAGGGTCTGTGCCACTGTCACAGCCAGTCCCCGGCTGCTGAGGGAGTCTCCCCGTGCTTAGAGGGAAGACATAAAGGACAAACAGTGACCAGGAGCCTGGGGCTGCGTGGGTTGGTGGGAAACAGGGCTCTTTGCCATTGAAGTCCTGCGCCGGGAGCCCTGGCTGGCTCCCAGCCCCGGGGTGGTCCAGAGACCTGCACTGGTGCAGCTGGAGCGGGAAGGGACCGAGGAGAAATCCTGGCCTGTTTTTATGTGTCAGGAGACAACAATTAGATCTCAACAGGCTCACACAGAGAGGGCAGCAGGTCTGTGAGAGCTCAGACCATACTGGGAGTGGGGCTGGCTGGGGGTCCCACATCACTGCCCATCCCCACCCCCACTGCAGGCTGGTCCACGCAGGTCTGTGCCCCTCTGGGCCATTTGGGTTCTCTGAGGTCAAGGAAAATGACCCTTAAATCCCTTCCTCCCACTCAGAGACCACTGGTGAGGGAGATGCTGAGGAAGGGATGTGCACCCAGCTCTCCATGGGTCAACCCCAGCCATAGACCCAGGTCTCCTCACCCCTATCTGTACCAGCCAGCATCTCTCTGTCCATCTCAGCCAGCATTGCCCTGTCCGTCCTGACCAGCATTGCCCTGTCCATCTCAGCCAACATCACCCTGTCTGTGCCAGCCAGCATTGCCACGAGATGCCCATCCCAGCCAGCATCACCCTATCTGTCCCAGCCAGCATCACTCCATCCATCCCAGCCAGCATCCCCTATCTGTCCCAGCCAGCATCACTTCATCCATCCCAGTCAGCATCACCCTATCTGTCCCAGCCAGCATCACCCTATCCATCCCAGTCAGCGTTGCCCTGAGATGTCCATCCCAGCCCACACTGTTCTGCATGTATCAGCCAGTGTCAACCTGTCTATCCCAGCCAGCATCACCCTGTCTGTGCCAGCCAGCATCGCCCTAAGGCATCCATTCCAGCCTGCATCATCCTGCATATATTGGCCAGTGTCACCCTGTCCATCCCAGCCAGCATCACCCCAGGGCACTTGTCCTGGCCAGCATTACACCATGCACATCAGCCGTCCCACACTGTCCTTATCAGCCAGCCCCACCTGCCCCAAGCAGGCACAGACAGCTGAATCATTTCTCCCTGGAAGATCCCCCCCCCCATGCCCACCCCTCACAAATGGTCAGGCCTGTTTATTTACACCCATGTTGTTGGGCTCTGCTCCCAGCTGCAGGCACGCAGGGGCTGAAGTCACGGGAGGCAGCCAGCTCCCTGCCAGCCCCAAGCCCAAGCTGCAGCTTATGGGCACAAATCCACATGCCTCTGAGTTTTCTGTGTTCGAGAGTCGAAGGAAGATGCTCAGGGAAGGGATGCTCCAGCCCTGGAAAGGTACCCTGGAGCAGTTGCCAGTTCTTCTCCTGCAGGCAGATGCCCAAAACGTGTGGTGAAGGAAATGAGAGCTACGAGGCGATGTGCTGCAGCCCAGTAAGTGCACGGGAAAGGCGTGTGGCACTCCACATCAGCCCCGTCCTGAACACGCCAGGCAGCCTCAAACGCGAGCCCCGAACGTAAATAATTTCATGAGACTGTCATAAGCTTTTCCTACCAAACCACCAGTAGAAACATTCCCAAGAAACATCAGTTAAAAGGTCTCTGCCAAAACTATGCTGGTAACTAACTGGGAACATTTGGCCTGAAAGTGAAATATTTTGGTGATGGAAAAAAAAAAAAAAAAGACAGGCTTAAAATACACTTAAAAGCAGCAACCAAAAATAGCTCCAAACACCACGTGGGCCAGAGTTAAGGGGTGGTGCTGGGGTTGGGGTGGGGGGGGGCACAGGGAGAAGGGAGAGTGTGTGTTAGTGTGGAGAGAGATAAATAGTTTTATAATAAAATCATTTCTTCTCCTGACCGCCCTGGGTTTTTTTGCAAACACTGCTGAGGGTGAAGGCAGAGTGGCTGCACCCATCACTCACTATGCCCCTCTGTGGCAGGGGGATATGCTCTGGGAACTGGCTTACTGCTGACATGAGTTTGCCAGTTCTCAGGGCTTCAAGACTTGCCTGGAAAAATGACCCTACAGCCCCAATGCTGAAGGTATCTTTCCCTGCATGTCCGAGGGAAGAGGTGGGGGCACGGCACGCTAACACCCCCAGGGAACCACACCAGACCTGCCTGGCCAGCCTGGCTGTGGGTGGCATTGCTAACAGACCCAGAGGCACCCCAGACCCCTACATGGTGGCAGAGGCCATCTCTGCAGACCCTGTCCCCAGCCCCATCTCAACCCCTTATCTCCACAGTGACTGCCCTAGTGGTCCCCCACCACCCACCCTAAGGATCACCCTGCATCCTTTGTCCCAGGGCCTCCCCAGCACTCCCCATCCTCACCCCATCAGCTCCCCATCCTCAGATGAGCTCTTTTGGGCAGCTGCCCACCCCTGCCAGAGCAGCATGGGAGAAGGCAGCACCAAGCCTTCCCCCCCTCTGCCCCAGCAGCATACAATGCCTTAGTAAATGACCCTCCTGAGCATTGCCAAAACCCAGCCACAACCGAGCATCGCCGCAGAGAGAAGAAGCAGGGCAAGCCCTTCCTCGGCCACAAACAAAAGGGGAAGGAGCCGCAGAGCAAGGGGAAGACCCGGAGCCCTTGCCCGCCCTGGGTGCAGTGGGGTGGCAGGGGGCCAGGAGCTCTGGGCCAGGCAGAGCGGCAAACAGCCTGCCCAGAAGAGATCCCCTTACTTTTGGCAACCAAATTCCCTCACCGAGGGGAAAAGAGGTGTGCAAATGAACACACACACACACGTGTGCTGCCAGGCCACCTTCCTCAGTGGCCCCACGGATGGGCACACACATGGAGAAAGCATCCCTCTATGCTGGCACTGGCGGTGACACATCCTGGGGACAGAGAGTCCCGGGACAGTGGTCCTGGACCCGAGCCGGGACAGAGGGAACAATCAGAGCTTTTCTTCCTCCTGGCATGTTAATCCCGGCCCGAGAGGCATCTGCCACCCGCTCAGGGCTGCGTGACCTCTTGTGGCCATGGCCGGGGCAGAGGGACCCAGCCCAGCTTGGGGTTGTGGCTCTGCTCCCTCGGCACAGGATGCTCTCATCACCGGCACAGCCAGGATGACACCCGTGGGTATGAGCCAGGAACACAAGGTGCCCCTCTCCATCCTGCACCTACCCACTGGGGACCATTTGAGCTCATCCACAAATTTCCGGGGAGCCACAGGGAGAAATCCTGCCCTGAGCCCCTTCCTGCATCCAAAGCAAAATGCCGCAAGCCAAAAACATCCCCCGAACTCACAGTCATGTGCGCTGGCACCGGTGCCCACGCAGGGTGTGACAGTCCCCCAGCACAGCCCTTCGTGGCCTGGCAAAGCCCGACGCAGATTCCTGGGGGAGGACAACTTTCCATTGTGTTCGGCGCTTTGAAAGACAGCAGGCTGGGGTTTTTTTGGTTTTGTTTTTTTCCTTTTTTTTTCTTTTTTTTTTTTTCCTTTTTTTTTCCTTTTTTTTTCCTTTTTTTTTCCTTTTTTTTTCCTTTTTTTTTCCTTTTTTTTTCCTTTTTTTTTCCTTTTTTTTTCCTTTTTTTTTCCTTTTTTTTTCCTTTTTTTTTCCTTTTTTTTTCCTTTTTTTTTCCTTTTTTTTTCCTTTTTTTTTCCTTTTTTTTTCCTTTTTTTTTCCTTTTTTTTTCCTTTTTTTTTCCTTTTTTTTTCCTTTTTTTTTCCTTTTTTTTTCCTTTTTTTTTCCTTTTTTTTTCCTTTTTTTTTCCTTTTTTTTTCCTTTTTTTTTCCTTTTTTTTTCCTTTTTTTTTCCTTTTTTTTTCTTTTTTTTTTTCCTTTGCTTCATTTGAAGTTGCTCTTCAAAGAGAACAAGCCTCACGCAGATCCAGGGGGGGTGGTGGTGGGGACACAAGCAGATGATGCCATGCTGCAGGGCTGAAGATGGCAGCGGGGAGATGTGGGATGCTCCCCACCGAGCACAGAATGATGGGGTGCCTCCTAGCATCTCCCTGGGGTGGTTCAGGGCAGCATCACCCCAACGGAGATGTGGCAAATTATCCCAAGGGCATTTGGCAGCTCTGCCCACACACACCTGGCTCTGCCAGAGACACCCACCTGCAAAAAGCTGCTCTGCTATGGGGGATGCCCAATGCTGGCTGGCTCTAACACCCTGGAGATGGCATCACGCTGCGCTCCTGCCCCTCAGCTGGGGGAGCATCCCTGGCCCTCCTCTCTGCTGATGCCCACCATGGGAAGCCTGTGGCCGAGGGAGGTGGCTTTTCAAAGCAGCAGGAATTTCCCTCTTCTTGCTGTGCTGTGGGGCTGGGAGGGCAGCCCCCCGCTGACCCCCCCCACCTCCTCCCAGCAGCCCTGCAGAAGTGCTGTGCCCTGCTCCGAGGAGCCGTAGCATGGCCTGAGCCCATCCACACGCCTACTGATCTGCCCAGAAACCCAGCACCATCCCACCCCTGCAGCATCGGTGACCTTCATCATCACTGCACCAATATGCACCTTTTTGGGGCAGGGGGGAGCCTCAACCCTGCTGCTGGGATGGTCCCCTGTAACCAGTCACCCCTGTCCCCTAAATGCCACTGGCACCCTCCCAGCCACTGGGTGACTGGAGAAAGCCCAATAATGGGTGCTGGCAGGGAAGGAAGCATGTCCTCCCCCACCATCTCCAGGACCACTGGGACCATGCACAGCCTCCAGGATCACTGGCAACACCTGGGGGCAACTCCTCACCCACCCTGGGCACTGCCATGGTGATGGTCCCCAAGGCCAAGGGGAGAGCCCTGCTCACTGTCCCCATT